CTTATTCTTGCCCATCAAGGCTGGCAAAAATCACCCATCTCTTCACGTGCTGGGAATGAATTTCCCGTGTGTGTGAGTGTGAGAGAGTGTTTGCTCCACATCTGTGCTATCTTTCCTATTTTTCCTGTTTGAGGACCTGATCCATCACCTCTTACCTCGCTCCTCTGTTCAGAACACTTACTAAAACTCAATGCCTGTAACAGGGAGACTTCCTAATCCATATAAAACACTCTGCAACAATTTATATAAAACCTCATTAAAGCTTCAACATTTTCAGCGACACCTCCAGAAACATTCTTTGAACAGGATTCATTTGCTTCTCCTACAAGTGTAACCATGTCTGGGACACTGATTAGGTGTGATTTTAGGAAAAAATCCATCAGAAGGAGTTATAAAAAGCAACCAGCAAGGAGTGCAAGGGCAGAAGGAGAGAAAGGCCAGCGGTGAGAGCATCCCAAAACTCCTCGGATCAGTTCCTGGTCATTTTGGGATAAGTCATTTAGCATTCTCATGCCTGATTGACGCTAACATCATTAAAAGACTGGTAATGAATTTCAGGGCTACATAAATCACATTTAAAACTATTACCCTTAATAGAAGCCTTATGAGGCTTTAATAATTAATGCCATCTAAACTGCTTTCCCAAACATGATCTTTGAAATCAGATTGCTGTGGCCAGAGCCAGCCCTCATCCTGTAAGCACCTGCTTTCCAGCCAGCCTGGGAGGCTCCAGTGGGGCTTCTCTGGGGAACCTGGATGGGTCCAGTCCCACAGACCGGGTCCAGTCCCAGAGAAAGCTGCCAGGGGGAACCTGTGGTGGTGGAACCTTCACTCCTTTTGGAGATGACAGAAAACACCAGTTGTGAGAGCAAATGTGCTGCCAGGATCTCTTCCAGCTTGTCCTGTTGAAGGGCTGGGATGTGGGCACTTCATGCCCTCTCAGACCTCTTTCCTTCCAGAGTGGGAATGCTGAGATACCCAGCCCAGCTGGGGATGTGGCGCCCACGGAACACCACAAGGACTAAAGGCTGCACCTGGACTGGCACATCCTCATCTTTTATTAGCTCAGTTTAGACCCACACGATTCCAGAGGGTATTTTCTCTTCACTAAAGTGGGTAACTTCCGTCCACACGTGTGCCTTTGTGGTTCTGTGAGTCAGAGCTGCTCGGGGAGGCTGCGAAAGGCTCCGCACCGGGTTTTTTAGGCTTTTCACAGCGTGTGGGTGCTGAGATAAAAATAATGTTGCACCTCTCCTTGCGCTTCCTCCCAAGCAGAGGCTCCAGGCAGAGGGATGTGCAGGGGGAACAGCAAATGGAGCTTCAGCTCCAACAGCCCACGGAGTTAATTCCTTTAATTTAGTCATGGTGCAAGCAGGATGTGAAAGCCCTTCCCGGAGAGCGGCTGGTGTTCTTTGGTGCCGTGAGTTTTCCCTTTTTTTTCTGATTTCACTGTTTGAAAACTAAGATAATAATGTTGCTGCTGGGATAAGGAGCAGAGGTTGTGCTGACTCCTGCCACAGCAGTCCATCCCAAGGTTGCGTCCCACCTGAACAGGAGCCGTGGTTGCCACAGTTGTGGATCCCAAATCAAGGCTGCTGATGCCAGTTTTGCCATCCAGTGTGAAACACCCCACAAACACCCTCTCATGAAAAACTGAAATCTCAAAAGTCTCTCTGGCAAGTGGTTCCCAACCTCTGGAAGCTGCACAGTGGGGTTGTGCCGGGGCTGCTGCACATCCCTGTTGTGCTCCAGCGTCTCCCCAAGCCTCCCCCCAGCCCTGCTGCCCACAAAATGACAAAAAATAGCAAGTGCTGAGGCAGCTGGCAGGGAGCATCCGTCACCTCCCACACAAGTCACAGCAGCTCCAGCCCCCCCATCGCCAACTCCTTGCATTTACCTGCTCACTCTCCTTCCTCGGGCAAACACAACAATTCCTGGTGCAGACCTTCCCTTCCTGTGCCCAAAATGCTTCTCACAGCCTGATGTACAGATAGAGTTGGTCCACAACCCTTGTCTGATGCCAGATCAGAGCCACACATGGGCTCAAGGGGTGGCTGCCCTCAGGTGGATTTGCTGTCTGAGTAATTCCATGTGGAGCAAGTTTGAGGGAGTGGGAGGGGAGGCAAACATGAGGTTTCCCACCAGTTCATGGCCCGAGCTGACAGGACCAGGCCTTTTATTGTATAACAACCTGAGTTCCTTCAAGGTGACTTCTGCTGGAAGAGAAAAGACCAGGGAAAAGATTCCCTGCAGATGTCACCTGCAGGAATCAAACACTTGTAGCTGAAAGGAGACAGGCCCACCACCCCTCACTGCAACCACTGACAGCCCAGGGAGAGCTGCTGTAATAAATCACTTCTGGTCTGAGCCACTGATGAAGTTCAAATCCCTCCTCACTAATAAGATTGGACCTTGGGTGCAGCCTAAAAGCTTCTGCTCAGGTGTCCGTGGAGCTTCAGGCTGCCACGCTGAGGGCTGGCAGAGCTGCTGTGGCTGGGTCAGGCTCCAGCCCTGCAGGGACCAGCACAGCTCTGTGACATCCTGAGATGGGCAAAATCCCACCTGGCTTCATTTGCCCACATGTGGCTGTGGAGGAGGATCCTCCCTCTCAGGGAGGAGAGAATTTAACAGGAACAGTGAAAAGCAGGGAAGGCAAAGTGATGTTCTGAGATGGTGTTATGTGAAACAATAAACCAAAACAGATGTTGCAGGGTTTGGCAAACTCCTAACCCAAGTTTTGGATGATGCTGAGAAGATGCAAAGTGCTAATTGTCCTGCCTGGGACAGCCATGCCAGGCTCCTGGCTGGGAGAAGAGGTTTCCACTTCATCTTTACCGTTGTTTGCCATCATCAGAGAGATACATGTTATGGGGACGGAATTCTGGACAGCTGCTAACGAGGTAGGAGAGCTTAGCTGTGGTTTTGGGAGGCATCACCAGTGCTCTCTTCCCTCCTGGCCCCAGAATGCCTGTGGGAAATGCTCCTGGTGTGAGTGTTGGCATCGTGCACGTGCTTTGCCAGGGCAGAAGTTGCTGTTTGAGATGAGCAGCAGCAGAAAATCCGTCGGAGTGTTTTAGCCCGAGTGCATTTGCATAGAAGCAAAGGGGAGGGGAAGAAACCCAAGCTGGAAATGTGTATTTCTAATTGATTATATGCATGGCTGCTGGGGGCCTCTCACACTGTAATGGTTAATTATGTCACTGGATGTGCTGCAGCTTTATTCATGTTGCAGTCAAACAATCCTGCCCAGAGCTCAGGCAGCAACACAGCACATTGACTGTCTAGAGGAAAATGAAGCCCTGCTTTGGGTTGTTTGGTGGGAATTTTTTAACAATATAAAGAAAAATGATGAACAGCCAATTACTGCGTTAAAGTAATGTACCCTGACAGTCCATGGTGAACATCAAGGTCTAACCTGCCTCCTGTAGCTTTGTGACTTTATTGGTAATTCCCTGCTCCTGAGCTCCATCCCAGGGAAGCCTCCTCCTCCCTGGGGCTGGGGGTCCTGGAGAGCATCACCCCTTTGACTTCCTTCTTTAGTGCAGAATCCATTCTGCTGACCAAATCCCTGCTTTGTCCTTGCTGTCAAAACCCTGATGGATTTGCTGCCTTCAGCTCTTCCTCAAATGTGAATGAGAGCCCAGGAAAACGTGCTGAATTCACTATAATTTAAATATCACTGTAACTTTGCATGAAAGAATACATGTGAGCTGCAGTCCCTCAAAGACAAATAACCAGTGTGCTCTGGCTGCCAGCTGGGGTCCTGCTGGGAGGCAGGTTTCTACCAGCCTGGATCCCGCTGGAACTTGCCTAAATTGGGCTACACCACGTTCCAATTGGAAAAATCAAAACTTACACACCTCTGTGGGCTTTTATAATTTCTGCGACTCAAAGGGAGCTCAAGAAGCCCGAGCACGGGGCTCCATTGATTCCAAACAAGCCACCCAACAACACCTCCTCCGCATCTCAGCTCGCACTTTATTTTGAGTTGTTCTATTTAGGGCACTCGTGTTGTGCTACACTGGGGACGCCTCTGCAAAGATGCAGCACGTTTCAGCCAGAACACCGGGAACTGGCGACCCCAGCATGTGTGCAAAGCCCCTGCATGGAATGAGCTCTCCCTGAAGAAATTGCCCTGCAATTCCAAGCTCCAGGTGCTGTGCTGGTGTCCGTGAGCTGCCCCTGGCTCCACTGCCAGGGCTGGCAGCTCACGTAGCCGGAGTTACCGCATGGCGTGTGACCCTTCTCTTGTCCTTCTCTCTGTATCCAAAGAAGTGTCCCATTGCTGGACACCTTGATGGAGCTGCATCCTTGTTCTTGGCTCTGCCACTCTTTTTCTATGTGTTTTGGCTGAATCACTCAGTCTGGCCGTGGTTTCCAGAGCCCACAGCATCTTTCCCTGTGTCCCTCTCTCCTTTAGCCCTGGCTCTGTCCCTGCTTTGGTCCCAGTCTTGCCAAGCTGGCTTTCTCCAGCACACTGGCTTGCTGCCCTCCAATCCTCCCCGTTGTGTTCTGTGTCCTTAGCTGTGGATTTGACACTGGAGCCAGTTTTCCCTACCCAAGCTCCCAAAGGAGGTACGTCCCGGGAAGTGCAGCCCACCCAGTGCTGGGAGCCGCGTTTTCCAGGTGCGGGGTGCAGGGGGGGTGGGAGCTGCACGGAAGGCAGGATGCACGGAGGGGCAGGAGCAAAGCTGGTTCCCCCCCCCTGCCCCGGTGGTGAAGTGGAGCCACCAGCCTGAGGGACTGGAGTCAGATGGATGGAAAGGAGAGGACCAGAGGAAAAGAAGGGGCAATAGAGGGAAAGGGGGGGAATAAACGGAAAGGGTGAAAAAGGAGGGAGGAAAAGGGAAAGGATTAATAGAGGGAAGTGGGGAGGGGGGAGAGGAAGGAGAGGTGGATAGAGAAAGAGGGAGGGAGGGAAGGGGGAGGGAAGAAGGGAGGATGGAGAAAGGGAAGGAGGGATGAAAGGAGGGAGGGAACGGGGGCAGACGGGAGGGAGAGGTGGGCTGGCCCCGCCGGCGCCATGTGATGCCCTCTCCTCCCCGGGCTCTCCCGGCGCGGCGCGGAGCGAGCGGAGCATCCCCGGGGCCGCCGGGCACGTCCCGCGGGGCCGGTGAGTGCCAGGCTGGGATGGGGAGGGCAAGGTTCGGGCTCCTTCCCGTGTCCGGGCCAGGCTGCCCCTGGAACGGGGGCAAATAGTCCTGGGGTCAGCTTGGAGGGGAGGCGGGGGGTCCGAATTCGATGTAAAACCCTGAAAGTTTAAAGCCGAGGGAAGGGGGATCTGGGAGGCGCCGCCAGGGTGCGGAGCCGCAGGGCTCAGGGCAGGTGTTGCCTGTGTTTTCCATATTCCCCTTGGAGTGGGAACCGGCCGGGAGAGGCGGCGGGGGCACCGCCCCGGGCAGCATCCGCCGCAGCCCCGGCGCGGCCCCGGGTACCGGGAGCGCTGCGAGCCCCGGCAGGGAGGGACGGAGAGACCCGGGTGAGGTGCCCGTGTGCCCTGCCCGGGCACCGGCACCGCTCGGGCGGAGGGGTTTGGCTTCGCCGGATTCCCGACGGAAGGACCTGAGCACGAGGAAGCCGGAAAATCCTGGCTCTTCATCCCTGGGCTTTTCCCCATCGGGCTGCTCCAACAGGGGCCATCTCTTGGGCACTGTGAGCATCCCCCTCCTCGGCGGCGAGTTTGGAACGTTTTGCTGAGGAACGCCTGTATATTTTTCACAGGGAATGTAAAATCCGCTGGAAGTCAGCCTATGAATGTTTTTCCAGTGTAGCAAACCCCTTGGAGAGGGGAGTGTGAATTTGAACGAGCCTATCTGAGAAAAAACCTGACCTGGTTGTTAACTGAAGTAAAGTAGAGGGATTAAAAAAAAAAAAAAATTTTAAAAAAAAAAAGCTGGATCATGTGTTACCGTATGAACAGGGAATGGGGACATGGAGCCTGTCCTCACTTCTGCATGTGCCACTTATTCATACCCTGTGGAAGGTGGTGAAATGTGAAATGTGGTGTCTCAGCCACGGCAGCAGCGAGAAGGGAGGCTCTGACACGTCCTTTGGATGTTGATTAATTGCTTGGCATTCCATAAAACTCCATCAGCCCCTGATGCACGATGCTTTTTGCAGCTTTTAGGGTTGGGTCTCCCAGGCAGGAACAGCGGGAAGCTCCTCGGGGTGTCCAGGGAGTGGGTCTGACCTGTGGCACCGCTGTCCCCACCGTGTCCCTCGAATCCCCCAAAGCCTCTGTGGGGGAGAGGAGGCCTCCTCAGAGCTTTTAGGTGCCTGCAAGGTGCAGGTGAGCCTGTGGAAAGGGCAGCAAGGGTGTTGCACTCACTGAAGGCAGCACTTCTTCAGCAAGAGCACTGCAAAGGAGCGGATCAGCTAAAAAGGAGTGTTCCTGCCGAGTTTCGTGCAGCAGCAGCAGGTGCTGGTGGCGTGACCCAGCCTGGCAGCTTTGCTGGAGGAGCATTCCCGTGTTCCCATCGCTTGCTGCCCTTTGGTTTCACAAGTGCCTTGTGTTTCTCCTCCCTTCAGAGGTTCATCTGCTGGGTTTTAGGGGCACCATTTCAGTCTGTCAAGTAAAAAGCCAAAGGGCAGGAGACTGGCTCCCAGCAGCCCTTCCCTGTGCCATCACACCTTCCCCTCAGGCTGCCCCATGTGGCATCCAGGGCACAGAAATGCTTCTGTGTGTGGCTTTCTCTGATCCCTTGCTGTATCTTGTAGCTGTTGAATATATTCATTGAGCTGAATGAATTCCCACCTGGCAGCATCCATACCGCAGCATTTGCAGCTTCAGCTTTATTTATGGAGAGGGGAGGGAATATAAAATACAAAAGAGAAAATAATGCACAAGCCTGCAGAGGCTTCAATGGTATCAGTAAGCTGTGAACTGCACAAGGCTGGAGCAAACACTGGGAGCGTTTCCTAAGTCATCTGGGAAGATTTAAACCCCTGGCTTGAAGGTGGCATTTTTAAAAAAACTAGATGATGGAGTCTATGTCAAAAGTTATCTGGGAGTCTAAATCTCACTGAAATTAAAGGTGGGGGTTTTTTCTGGGTGTGTTCTAGAAAGATGGTTTAGAGTCAGTCACACTGATATTGTTGTAGAGTATCTGACATTTATAGTAAAATATTTACTGGGAATTTGTCAAAGGACAACACATATACCATCATTAGGCTCAGAAAATGGGCTGTTACAGATGAATGGAGTTTATCTTTGGTCCCTGTGGAAGAAAGGACTTGCAGCTTTTCCTCTATTATGAGGGAGGTGTCATTGCTCTTCAGTGAAAATCCTCATTAGAGTGGTGCTCTGGGCTGCACTGGGGGGGTTATTGGAGCAGCACAGCAGACAACATCCCCTGACCCAGAACAATGTGGAGATAATTCGTTTTCCCACTCAGTGCCCATCCAGTGCTGTTTGGTGACATCCCCATCCACAGAGAGCATCCTCAGGTCTGCCAGGACAGGACCTGGCTCACCCTTGAAGCCCTACAGGTGGGCAGCCCTGGCTCCTTCACAGGAGACATGGAATGCTTGGTTGCAGCAGATGTTCCTTTTCTCTGCAGCAGCTCTGGCTGGGAATTTCAGGTTGTATGTAGGTGGCAGGAGAGGTGCTGCTGGGTGTGTGCCACGGGAACCAGAACCTGGTGGTACAAAGGGACAGCGGGAATGGGAGAGGAGTGTGGGTAAACACCGGGTACACACAGCCAGGGCAGGTTTCACCTGGTAATAGGTGCTGGCGTGGGGGAAGGATGGAGTAGAGTGAGAGCAAGTCCATTCCCTGCCTGTTCCTCCAGACTTTCCCAGGATGTGGCTGCACTTGCCTGTGCTGAGCAGGACAGGCAGCCCGTGGCCTCCTGAGCGGGTCATGATGCCTGTGCCTGTTCTCAGGCTGCTCCATGTCATGCGTGGTTTTTCCTACCCTGTCTGCTGGGGCATTTACCCCTAAGTCCTGGGATGGTGACAAATCCTGCTAAAATCTGGGTGGTAGAAAGTTTAATACTTCCAGTGATGTATAAATACTTGCTATGTACATGAATATTCCTCACCTAACAAGCTGCACAAAGCAAAGACCTTTCCTATGTGAAGACGGAACCAAACTTCAGTGGCTGCTCAGTGTCAGACCTGGAGAGCTGTGCACACAGACATCACTGACAGCTTCCAGGGAGCTGTGTCCCAGACTGGATGGAGCAGCTGCTGTGTTTGGTGACTGGGTTTAATGGCAGTCACGAGTGGCACTTGGATTCTGAAGTTGTTTGCCTGAGGTGTGGATGACCCGGTCCTTCTCCTCTTTCTTTACACCCTCGTTTCCGTGCTCAGAGGCTCTGTGGTAAAGCTGGTTTCCAAGCAAGGAAGGGGAATGCAATCTCCTGGCTAACAAGGCACTGCTCCATGCTATCAATCATCTTTAATCACACTGAGGGGACGCAGGTCTCAGCAGCCATGGCCAGCATGAGCAGCTTGGCCAGCGTGCCACTTGTCTGCTGCCCTCAGCATTCAGAGAGCCCAGCTTTGCTTCGGGGATTTCTCACTTTCTCTCATTCATCACACTGAAAATGTTCATAAAACCCCTCCAGCTGCCAGTGCTGGCGAGGAGAGCTGCAGCAGGGGAAGAGCTGCTGCTGCCTCTCCTCCCTGGCTCAGGTACCCCTGACACGGGGGATTGGAAGAGTTTTAATTAGCTCCTGCTGCTATTTTTATCTCCCAGCTTGCTTAATTTAGCTCGAGCTGTCATGCACCGATCGTTAAGGGGAAAAGAAGGAACTGGGGGTGTTGGCCCCTCTCTGCTGAGCGGCCACAGCTCCTGCACCTGGGCTGTACCTGAGGCTTTTCTTAGACCTTCTGCAGCAGTAAAAGTTTACAGCCTGGAGACCTTTCATGTGCTGGTGTTCGTAATACACGACTCCTGCAAGGCTTACACTGAATGAGTGTGTTCTGCTCACACCCACTTCAGTTTAAAACAACATCAATACCTTACAGATCTCTTGCCTGGGATCTTCAATCATGCCATTACCTGCCTTGCTGCTGGAAGGACGCAGAGACCTTGAAAAAGCTGCCATGTGCAAGGAAGAGGCTTATTCTCCCCTTTTTAATCTACAAGACTATTGTAGGACTTCGTGCCATCATAAATGACACTTGGAAGTGAACAAAAACCAACTGTTAAAGCTTTAACATCCCACCAGAGCAGCCCAACCTTGGTGCTGGTGTGAGGGGGATATCCACAGCTGAGCCAGCTGCTGTCCCTTGACCCTGCTCCTGGGTGTGCTCAGGCTGCACCAGCCGAGGGAAGCACTACCCTGCAGCCAGATGAGGGTCACTGGATCGTTGGGTTACTGGAGTTCATGTATTCAGGATCTAAATCAAAGCCATAATGTACCACAGGCAGAGGTTAATGGGCAGGCCCCGCTCCCACAGCACACAGCAGAGAGGTTTCTGCAGCACAGCCCCCAGCTGCTTTGCTTTGCAGCACTAGATATTTCCCCCTTTTATTCTGCTTTTGTAGCTCTTTGTAGGGTATTGAAACCAGCAGTTTGAGTCGGGTCCCTGACTGTGAGCACTCTGACACACTGTGAGTAGGAGAATACTGTGTCAGATTTGATAGGGAGAGAGGACATTGGGAAGGGCTCTGCAAAGGACAGGGCTCAGCTATTGTTAGGGATGGAAACCTTGAACAGATATATATAGTTCAGACCTGGAGAACTGGGCCTGGGTGCGTGGGCAATACTGCAAGCTCAGGGTTTTAGCTCCTATTTCCCTCTTGAGAAATGTACTTTGTGTAACATTTTTCTGCAAAACCCCAGGGTAGGAGCTGCAGTGGTGCAGAGACCTGCCTGCCACCTGCCTGTCCCTGTGTGCCAGCACCCTGCAGCCCTCGTGGGAGTCAGTCAGAGGTGGAGAGCTGAGGCTGTGCCCTCTCTTGAGGTCCGGGATTTCTCCTCTGCTTGTTTCCAAAGCCACCCCACTCCCAGCTCCTCCCAGACCATCCAGCAGCAGAAGCCTCCATCAAGGACCCTCCTTGCTGTGACGTTTCCTTGCAGTCGATCCGCCAGAACTGAACTTCCCACCTTCAGCCTCATCCCAGGTTTTCCACTCACCAAAGCATTGCTTCAGCTGGGGTTAAAAGAGGTAAGAGCCTAAAACACCAAGGAGAAAGGAGACATGTGGGTGGGATGGGCTGTATAAGAGGTTTGGGGAGGGGATATTTGTGGATTCAGAAAGGCCATGTAAATGAGACCAGCTGTACACACACAGACAGTGCCAGCAGCCTGTGAGCCAGGACCATCAGGGCTGTTGGGTCGATGATTTTATTTGTTGAAAGTTTCTGGCATCATCCAAAGCCATTAGTGTGAAAGAGCTGGAGCAGAGCCAGGAGTGCAGCAGCATGGCAGAGGTGGCCCGTTCAGGAAAGGGTCTGGTTTGAGGGCTGGGGTGGGAAATAAATCTCTCTTGCTGTTCCTTTGCCCTTGGGAATATCATTTGATCTCCTTATATTTGGTGCTGGAGCTGAGGTAGGCTCAGTTATCAGTAACAATTATCTCTGCAAACCTGGCCCAGGCAAAAGGGCAGGTTTTGAGCAGTCCACAGCAAAAAGGTTGGGATAAAGAAAGAGAGGGAAGAGCAGCCTTGGGTCGGCCTTGAGGGTTCACTAAGCAAGATGTGGGTTCAGCAGAAAATTGACAGTACTTTCTATACAGTAGATAGTAGATACAGTACATATTTCCTTCACTCTTGCACTGCCATGGAAGGATTTCTTGGCCAAACTGTAAAAAAATAACTCAAGCAAGAAATGAAGCACAGGAAGCGCTAGAGAAAAGAGAAGTGCTCAGAAAAATTATGGAAGTCAAGTTTAAGAGGAAAAATCCCAAGTAATCTCATTAATAAAATCAGTTAGTGGTGAACACTGCAATGTGTGGGGTCACACATGGCTCCCTCTGATTGCTGCTCAGGTGTTCCTTGTGTGTGTGATGACAAGCACAAAATTAATGGGTTTATGATTGCTGTGGCTCAATCTACATTCAAATAACTCATCACCAGCCTTCTTTTTATTCATTTATTTGCTCTCAAACCCTCTCTGGAGAGCCCGGAGTGCCCATCGATCCCGCGCTCTCCGCGGGTAGTGGCAGTGCCGCGTGCGGAGCCGTCGCTGGAGCTGCTGCTCTCAGCTCAGGGGAGGCTTTCAAGCCCACTATTGATCCTTCTGAAGTTTATGGCTGCTCGTGGTCACAAGTTACCAGCCCTCGTTCAAACTGCCACGAGGTGGGCTGCTTCATTTCTGAGCATCAGGCTAAACCTCCTCCACATGGAGGAGATTTATTTCTGCACTTAATTTTTCCGATACATAATTTCTCTCTCAGAAATCGAGCTGACGTTTTTATAGGACACTAATGCAGGTCTGTAAAGCTGTCCAGTGTATTTCTGTTTTCCCCTGTGCCAGTGGAGGTGCTGGGTGCCAGCAGCTCAGGGCAGGGCTCCTGGGAACCCTATGGACCAGCTCCAACCACATCCCCTTTGGCCATTTGCCTCTCAGTGTACCAGTGCAGGAGACACTGCTTTTCCCTGCAGCCATCCTTGCTCTCCTTCAGCTGTTATGTGGAACCAGAGCAGTCCTGTGCTTCCCTCCTGCTTGCAGTACACCTTTTCCAAGCTTCAGGAGGAACTGTCACTTCCCAAGCTATAATTCCAAAACCAAAACTATCTTTCCCAGTCACACAATTTTTGCAGGTCTGGTTTGTAGAGCTGTTTCTCCTGCATCCGCAGGTGGAGCAGTGGGCACTGCCCTCACCATCTCCTCCTCTTCCTCTCCTCAGCTGTGGCTAAAGCCAGCTCACCATGTGCTCCTCACACAGGTCCAACACTCTGCCAACCAACAGAGCATCAGCTCACCTGGCCTTGGGCTGCACACACTGTTTTGGGACCGAAGCATTTGCACCCTTTAGGTGCTCCTTGAGGTCAGTGGGATCATTCTATTCCACCTAATGACCAAATTAGGCTTTTCTGAATTTGCCCATGAGGTGGCCAGGGTGAAGTTGAGGAAGCTGTGCTGTCTGAAGGAGGATGACAATGCAGTGGTGGCCTCAGCACGGTCCTGCCTGAGCACTGCCAACTCTGAAAAGTTTTGTTCTGAAAGAGCCACTCTCCTTGACCTATTTTTTTTTTTGCCCACATCCATGGCCTGTGTCGTGTCCTGAGGAAGGGATCACACTGCTTGAAGGCCCTTTATTTTTAGCCAGCCCAATTTTCTTGTTGCAGCTTAGTGGGAGCTGGTCCTTTCAGTTCAGCTCCATCACAGCTCACGCTCTCCTGCATTTGATGGCTCTTACCCAGGTCCCTGATGTTCTTTGTACATCCACTGCTCACTCAGTGGGTTTCCTACTCCACTTTCACAAGCTTCCTTCCTTCTCCTTTATGTTCTGTTCAGCCTCTCCCACTACTCCAGGTCCATGGCTTAACCTCTGATTTCCCTCAGCCCTGGGTTTGCAGCATGGACCAGGCACAGAGGCAGGTTGCCAGGCTTGTCCTGGATTCCAGCACCCTCCACAAACAAAACCTTCCCTCCCGTCTGCTCCAATAACCTTGGCAGTGCCTCCCCTCATCACAAATGTCAGGAAATTGGAAATGATGCTCTAACCACATAAAAATCAATAGCTGCCTCCTTGGCCTGGCTTGGCCCTGCTCTTTCTGCCTTTACCCAGAGCAGGAGAGAGCTGCGGTTTTCCACTGAACTCGGAGCAGTGATTTATTGATACATCCCATCCTGTCCAGGCAGTTGACCAGTGATATATTTATTTTTCTCAGCCCATCCCTATAGCCCAGAGCAGTGCTCAGTGTGAGGTCACGGAGTTGTGGGCTCAGAAACCTGCCCAGGATATTTTCTTTCTGTCACTGTGGAGAAATAGGTAAGGACTAACTCCTAGATCTGGGTGAACTGTGTTAGGAACAATGCCAATATTCATTTCATTTCCCAAAGGGTTCAGTCCCAGCAAGGGCCATGTGTAGTTTCCATCAGAAGCTGTGGCTCCAAGACAAGAAGAAATTCATTACAAGGACTGCAGATTACATTGCAGACTGCCTTTATTGTTCCCTGGACTACTACCAGAGGGCACAGCGTGATCGAAGGAGCAGGAACAGTTCTAAAGTCCCATTTCTTGGAAATCTTTGGGGCTCTATTCATTTAATTTAAAATACAGCTACTGCTGGAAATCAAACAGCATCACCTTTTCAGCCGTAGGAAGCATAACACAATTGATAAAGGTCACTGGGAACTAAATCCTTGCTGAAAATCAAGCCAGTTCCTGTTCATGTCCTTGAAAAATCTTTCCCCTGGGAGCCCTGCTAATTCTCCAGGTGCTGGACACGGGGGGAGGCTTGTTTTGAGCAGATGCTCTGCACCATCCCTGCCCCCTGTCCCCCATCACATTGGGTTCCATCCTCTGTGCCAGCAAGGCAGGAACAGGGATCAGTCTCTAATGCTTCCCTGATTACATGGAAATTGGAGTGTGAGGGAGAAAAGGAATGAGGCAATTGAGAGGCGCAACTCTGACGCCCAACCCCTCTCCCTGCTGCTCACATCACCCCAAAGACCAGTATATGATACCAAGCAGGTCTATTTTCCAGTGTCTGATGTTGATGGACAACAAATCACAGGAAATACTCAGTTATTTCCCTCTGAGTGGCTTTATCTGGACCTTCACATACTCCCTACTATGATTTTTGGCTCGTTATTAACGAGAAATGCGCAGGGAGGATGGTTGTTGATGATACACGAGCCAAGAATAGATTCCAGTTCCTTTTACCATTTTGGCACCAAAATGCCAAGAGGGATGAGACACCCTGTAGTAAATGCTGTTCATTTTGAGGCAGCAACTAGAAAATATGGCTCTGGCTGAGTTAGGGAGATGAATGGATGAGCCAGAGGATCTGAGTTTTGGATAGTTGATTGCAGGACCAAATGGGAATCTATAGAGATGGGAAATGGCATATTCCCTGGGAAATGTTCTTCTGATGTGCTTCTCTGCCTGATAGCCACCACTTTCCTCTTTAGCTGCTGCCTCCTAATTCTTCAGAGAAAAGAAAGTCTGATCATCTCCTCTGTACTTTGCTCCTCACTCCCTTAGCAGGGAGATGTTCCTCCTGGGAACACATCCTGCCTTTTTTGAGCTGAGGGAAACATTAAAGAAGAACATTAAAAATGAGGCTGGTTAGCAAAGCCAAAGGTGGAGGGAAAGCTTGCAGGAGTGTGAACTGGGCTGTCTGGAGACAGCAATCCCCTTCCTGTAGGTTGGAACCTTCTGGGGAGAGGCACAGTGTGAACGTAGGAAGAGCCAAATCCATAATTTCATATGGAAGAGAATTGTCAGGGCTGTTGCAGCGCTTGAGGGTGCAAGTACATCTGCTTCCTACCAAGATGTACTTGTCTGCTTTGGATTTGAGGTCAGATGCAATAATTAAAGTCTTTCTCTCCCTTTCTCTGTTTCACTCAAGGATTTGGTATTCTTCCAGCAGCTTTTCTCTCTTATTGCTGCCCAGAGCAGTGAGCTGGAGGGGCAGACAGGCCTTGGATATTGCATCTGCTCAGTAAATGCCATTCTTTGGGCTCCACAGTAACTAAAAGTTTCCTTCATGTTGATCTTGTATGAGATTTGCTGCAAGCCCTGCCCAGGACGGGGTGTTGGGGGTCTTGGTGCTCTGGATTTGTGAGACAGATGTGCTGGGGAAGGGCACTGCAAGAGGATAAGATATGGAATATTGGATGTTCCCTGAGAGCACCCAAGCAGCAAGAAACCACTCTCAGCATCATCTGCTTGTATTAACCATGAGGGAGCTGTGGCAGAACATTATCTTGGAAGGCTTTGGGTGTAAAAGTACAAGCTGTGAGGACTTTTGGCATCTCTGAGAGTCACTATAAGCAAGTATTAATATGTTTACATCAGAGGCACTAGGAAAAAACACCCTCCTCCAGCCTGCTCACCCGGCCGTGTCGGAACAGCGAGTCGTCATCTCCCAGTCCAGGCAGGATTTGTGTCTCCTGATTTAATCACTAAACCCACCACCTTCACCACAGCGATAACAGGAACAGGATTTCTCTCCAAAGAGAGAAATCTGCCGTGCACCGTGATGGCAAACATGGGCTTGATGGAGCCAAAGCAAGGCTGGTGCAGTTTTAAAGGCAGTCCAAGGAATATGCTTCCTGCTGCTAAATCTGGTAGCTTTTGTTGTCTAGCTGGGTTTATATGTTTTTTCCATATTGTTTGCTGTGCTGAACAACAGCAAAATGTGCCTTGGAAAATATACATGACACGGCACTTACGTGTGATTCATCCTGCCTTTCTAAAAGCAGTCAATAGCACTATCTGCCTCCTTCCCACTCCCCAGAAGACCATCTCTGGCGTGTATCTTTTTCCTTCTCGCTCTTATTCCTTTAATCTTTCATTGCTGTGGCTTTTCCCCCCCCATATTAATTGCACTTTTTCCTCCACTGCACGACGAACTCTGATTTCTGGTGATATTTTATCAGTCTGCAGGGCACCATGAGAACTAATAAATTCCCTGACTTGGCAAGAATGCAATAAAATTAAAAAAAAAAAGGAAAAAAAAGATTCAATACATAAGCAACATGGGGATGAGGAAAGTTTTTCCTTTAATGTTCGCCCAGGGCCTGGCTGCAGCTTTCTGGTTCCTTTCCCTGCCTCTCCAAAAAGCACAAGCTGGGTTTGGCCCCAGCTCTGATCCATTAAGAACAATAAACAACAAAGAAAGACAAGTTATTGTGTCATGGCACTCTGCTTCAAGGTGTTTGATGATGTCATTCAGCATAGCATGGTCGTTGCAGAATCAGCATCCTGATTCCCCGATGGATAAATGTGCCCTGGAAGAGAAAGAGTGGCATTACTGGGGGGAGTGTGATGGTGGTGGGAGCTGCTCAGGAGGGGAGGTTGGTCCAGCAGCTGTAAGCACCTTTGCTGATCCATTATCTCGGTGTCCATGACCCTCAGCAGGCTCCTGTGCCCAGGAGATACAGCTCATGCTGCCTCCCCTCGTGCGAGCACTTGATAAGGCTCTGCGGGTAGATAAGATACTGGGGTTGAGCCACATCCCTGGGGAGATGAGTGCCAGGTTGGGCTGGAGAAGCAGGAATTCACCTGCAGCAAATCAAACAGGAGCCAAGGAGCTGCTCCCACCCAGCCCATCCCGAGCCTCTCCCACCCTGGCGCTCAGCACCCCCCGAGCCCTGGGCCAGCGCGGGGCAGCAGTCGGGTGGCATCTGGTTCAAACTCTGCCATCTGTCAGTGATTGTTTTAATGGCTCGTTTCAGCTCATCCTCCCCAAGGCAATCCAGGGCAAAGCTTTGACACCTCCGTCCCCCAGCTCGTGCTGACGGATCCGCCCGCTCTCCCCGCCCCAGCCCCCGATGCTGTTGGGCATGAGCGCCTGCAGCAGGAGGGCGCTGACCCTGCTCAGCAGCGTGTTCGCCGTCTGCGGCCTCGGCCTCCTGGGCATCTCTGTCAGCACGGACTACTGGCTCTACCTGGAGGAGGGCATCGTCCAGCCCCAGAACCAGACGGCCGAGATCAAGCTGTCACTGCACTCGGGGCTCTGGAGGGTCTGCTTTCTGGCAGGTACGTTCTCACCCCCCAAAAAAACATGCCCTGCTATTTATATGTTTTATATTTATATGTTTATATGTCTTATAGCATATAAACAGGTATATAACTATATATGTTATGTCTATTTATACATATATAAATCGATAAATATTAATGTATTTATAGTGTTTGTTGTCCGTGTCATCCCATGGGAAACAGCCAGGAAACATGGGATCTTTAGAAGCTCTGTCCATCTTTGCTTCCAAACTCTGGCCCATGCCCAACTTTTAACAGCCTGATGGATAAATGTGCCTTTCAACACAGGTTTTGGGTGGGTTTGATGCTGCCATGCCAGGGCCCCCCCCCGTCCCAGTGCTGTGGCCTTGGGCAGCAGCTCAAAACTTTCCATTTGGTCCCTGCAGAATTTAGATTCAGGTCAGCTGGACCATTCCCTCTGTCCCTGCCAAGTGTGATGGAGCAGCTTGGCTGCAGGAGCAGAGTTGAATAAAACCTGAGGGAATGGGAATCTCAAAGTGACCAGCCTGAAATGTCACAAAGTTTCAACTGCTGCTTGGAAAAAGTCAGGGGAGGCGTGAGGAGCTCTGATACCACCCCTGGAGTGACTTTAAAGCCTTTGGCTTTGGGGTTCACCTTTGTGCATACAAGGAAATGGTATTTAAGAGGTGTCTTTTTTCCACCCCAACCACAGACACTCAAGATGGAGCAGCACTAAAAAGCAAATTTGTTTTTATGCATGCACGGAAATTCAATTTAAAGCTGCTCTCCCCCCCAAAAAAAACAGACAGACAAGCACAATGCAGGAGTGACTTGTCTGTGTCTGCTGCAGGTGAGGAGCGTGGCCGGTGCTTCACCATCGAATACGTCATGCCCATGAACATCCAGCTGACGTCTGAGTCCACAGTCAACGTCCTGAGTAAGTGGTTCTGTGGGGTCTCTCCCTGCAAAGCACCAAGGGGTCACTTGTGACTCCCCCAAGAAATCCCCTTTGTGTCTTTGCCAAAGAAACTCAAAGTTGTAAACACAACTACATTTTGTGACTATGTGAATCACCCAGTGTGCTCCTAAGGTTCTGGGGACATCCCTTTCTAATGGCAGGGTGCTCACAGAGGCTCTAAGCTGTATAATTTCCTGTCACTGGCTATTCAACACTAATGTTTATCGAAGTGTTTGGCTTTTTAGTCTCCTCTCCATAATTTGCAGCTGTATTTATTCCCTAGCAGTCAATTTTACACATTATATAGTGGGATGAATTAAGGATGGAGTGTCAAAGCTCTCACGATGAATTCTGCAGTCATTTTGGATTTAATAAATAGGATTGTTCTGCAAACACTTATGGGGTGAAGCTAGAGAAAAATGCAGGTTCTGATGTTTTTTTCCCATGCAACACTTCACAAAGAAACCCTCAGAAACACAGATATTGGCAGAGTCACCACCATGGTGGTGAGGACCCGGCACAGGTTGCCCAGAGAAGCTGTGGCTGCCCCATCCCTGGGAGTGTTCAAGGCCAGGCTGGATGGGGCTTGGAGCAACCTGGGATAGTGGAAGGTGTCCTGACCTTGGCAGGAAACGTAAGATCCCTTCCAACCCAAATTGTTCTATGATTCCGTAATTCTATGTTTTTACTCAGTGCATTAGCAAAGAGGGAAAAACCCCAGACACAGTATGGTCAGAGCAGCAGGGCTGGAGCCATCTCACCCAGCCCATTTCTCACACTATATGGGGAGGATTAACCTGTTCTCACTTCCCTCTGCTCCTCTCCTGACAGAGATGATCCGCTCTGCCACCCCCTTCCCTCTGGTCAGCCTGTTCTTCATGTTCATTGGCTTCATCCTGAGCAACATCGGCCACATTCGGCCCCACAGGACCATCCTCGCCTTTGTCTCGGGGATTTTCTTCATCCTGTCGGGTGAGTTTTGCTACCAGGTTTGCTCCTGACAACCCTTGAGCACGGACACGTTTGCTTTGGTAGCTGCTGGTGGTCTCCTGACCCGCTGTGGTGGCTCCTTGATGGAGTCATCACCCACAGGGGCTCCCCTGCAGCTCAGCCCTGCAGCCTGATCTGCTTTTGTGGGATGAAAAACCATCCAGTGCAAAACTCATTTGTGGAAATGTGGGGAAAAGTCTCCACCACGTGCAGGAGCAGGTGCTGGGGGAGAGGATGCTTCTCGTGGCACATCAGTCACAGGAGAGATCAGAAACTTCAGACTGCTCAGTTGGGATGTTTCTACATGAGAAAAGGGAATGTTTTATTCATGGTGCTGTGTGAGTGTTAAACAAATAGCTGTGACAGCTGAGCTTTGAAGTCAGCTCCTACCAGAGCCAGCTGCCTCCTCCCCAGTGCACACAGACTTGCCAGAGCAGGTAATGCTTTGACTGAAATGAGAGGAGTGCCCTGGGTTAGCACAGCAGGAGGGAGGGCAGCTCCTTTCCCCAGTAATTCCAAGCACAGTTTTTTACTTTCCCCCACAAGTCAGGTCTTAGGGAAGGTGTTTCTTCAGCACTTCATCCCTGTTTCCCACTGTCCTTCTGCAGGTCTGTCGCTGGTGGTGGGGCTGGTCCTCTACATCTCCAGCATTAATGACGAGATGCTCAACAGGACCAAGGACTCGGAAACGTTCTTCAATTACAAATACGGGTGGTCCTTTGCCTTCTCTGCCATCTCATTCCTTCTCACAGAGGTACCCACAGCTCTCACATCCCTGTAACGAGCGTGTCCCGTTCTCAGGGGTGGGCACATTGAGGCTGTTGGAAAAAAGAGGACCGGGGTGGGGTTTAAGGCAGGGCTGTGAGGGCAGAGGGGTAAAATATACTGTGAAGGGAGACAGGGTGGGGACAGACCCAAGCCTGGCGCGCTGATGGGGCACTTGATGACGATTTGATGCCAAGCAGGAAATGCAGAGCAGGAGACGTGGTTGTGCTGCATTATTTAGTGCATGGATCCCAGGCAGAGGGCAGTGAAGTGACAGCCCTCAGGTGCCTTTGTGCATCAGCAGCAGAGCGAAAAAAAGGCGATTTATATTTGGGGGATGGTGGAGGAGGCAGCCAGGAGCAGGGTGGGCATCAGGCCGTGTCTCTCTCCCACAGAGCGCCGGGGTGATGTCCGTGTACCTGTTCATGAAGCGCTACACGGCCGAGGACATCTACCGACCCCACCCCGGCTTCTACCGGCCCCGCCTGAGCAACTGCTCCGACTACTCGGGGCAGTTCCTGCACCCGGACGCGTGGGCGCGGGGCCGGAGCCCCTCGGACATCTCCAGTGAGGCGTCCCTGCAGATGAACAGTAACTACCCAGCCCTGCTCAAGTGCCCCGACTATGACCAGATGTCCTCGTCCCCGTGCTGAGCCCCGACGTCCCCGATGGTCGCCGCGTCCCGACTCCTGTCTGTCGTTTTTTTAGGCCACTCTTTGAGGCCACTTCTCTATTTATAGGAGCGTAAATATAACCAGGGAGATCGGTTATATAACCAATAGTGTAACCTAGAGAATTGGGATGTTTTCCTTTCTTTGGGTTTTTTTTTTTGGGTTGTTTTATTCCTCCCCGCGTAACTAAAGATCCCTCCAAAGTCCTCTTCTCTCAGCTCGTCCCACTGAGCAAACAGCAGTTCTGCCTGGGGGGATAAATCCAGGGCTGGACTCCAGAGCAGGAAAAAGAAAATAGAGTAGAACTAAGAAAAAAAAAAAGGTGTATTTTTTTGGTGTAGGTAAGTAGGCTGCAAAAGTTTGTGCATTTGACTGTATCATTTAATTATATATTTACTGGCCTAAGTGCCAGCAGGCATAAAAGATTGGTGTAACTTTCCAAGAAATAACCAGCATTAGAAAAATAGAAATTTTGTCTTGATTGAATATTTACTGATTGATATCTCTCAGTGCTGGATATCACTTCCAACCAGGCTGTAATGGGAAATTACAGCTATCCTTCTGGACAATACCTCAGCAGGCTTGGACACAAGCAGGTTGTTCCTCTATGGCCACTTGTAAACTGTTGCTTAAATATCCCCTATTAGACTGGAGGCACCCTGGTGGGGTGGCTCTAGCACCCAAATTTCCTCTGCCATCCCATAGGCAGGAGATCTGAAGAGCAAATGGGAGAATTTCAGTGCAGCATCGAGTGGAAAACAACCTAAACCCTTCCCACAGGAAACATTAGATGCAGGATTTAGGGGGAATTATGGCCAAAAGTTGTTGCAGTGAAAGGCAAGATCCCAAACCAGTGTAAAGTGATGCAGCTGAAACTTATGGCACAAGTCCACTGCAGCAAAGTAGTTGGCTTATATTTCATTTTGGCAAGAAAATGGTATTTTAGCTGCTTTTTGTGTGTGTGTATGAAACTTATTTTGAGATTTTTAAGTTTTGAAACTTCGTCTCATGCTTTGGCATTTTGGCCTCAGCCACCTGCCAGGGGAGAGCATCACCCTGATGGAAAGCAGGGCAGGGAAGGAGCAGGCTGTGCTCCCTCGTGCTCTCCTGTGTGAGTCCCATCCTGTCTCCGTGCAAGAGAAAGAGCTTTGTCCAAACTTTATTTCTGTTCTTGTTATCTTCAACCTCTCGGGAAAATTTCATTTCTGCAAAACGAAACCGTCCGAGGACTCTTGGTATATTCGAGCTTGTTTTTTGTCTTACTGTAATTAAAAGAAATAGAATATACACACTTTTAATCTCATTTGTAGCACACTGGGGAGTGAATGTTGCACCTTGTTATTATTATTTAATATTAATATTTTATTATTTGCTGTTTAATAGTTATTATTTATAAGCTCCTCCAAAGTAGGGGCCAAGTCCTGCTGCAGCAACACTATTTGTATGGATTCCAATGCCCATTCCACAGGACTTCATTGCAGCTGTATTTCCAGACAGCTCTTGAACAAGATTATTTCTCTCCAGTTCCTTCAGATAAGTAACATATATCTAGTGTATATATAATGTCTCTGACTCCTAATTTGCTAAGTTTTAAAACCAGGGTATCATTTTGTAGACACAGTTCTATTTACCCTCAGTTTTTGTATTACCCTCAAGCATCTGTGTTCTCACTGAAACACCCGTTTGGAAGTGCTACATGACAGGTTTTGCTGCTGGTTCAAGCACTGAAGCACAATCCAGCCCCATCATCCAGCAGCAAAGTTTGCTGGTCCTCAGCCAGATAAACCACCAGTTTTCCATCAGGATCCCCGTGTTCAGTGTGAATTTGGCTCCAAGAAAGCACTGGAGTTCACAAGCAATGATTTTGCATTTCCTAGAGCCTGATCTAGTTTGCTGGGCTTGACACCAGTGTTTTCTGGTGGCTCAAAGGCAGTTGCCTTTGCATCTCACCCTTGATGGATCTTATATTCTCAGTCCTTCTTGGAAGGGAGATCTTCAAAGGATCCCCAAAGTCGCTGATGCTCAGAGGCACAAGGGCTGTCCCACTGTTCCCTCACACTGTGGAGTCATTTTGTGGGTTAATCCTGTGCAGCATCAGGAGATGTGCCCGTCCCCAAGTGGAATTTTCTTTGGTACTGATTAAATAGGGAATTATTCATTTTATAAATGAAAATGATTGCCTACATAAGCAGAAGAAATTAAAAAAAAAAAACTTCATGGCTTCCTCAAGGCCCCAGAAGGTTTAGCAGAGTCTAGGGGAGAATTAGAAAAGTAATTATTTTCATTCATTGGAGAGATTGTCATCATGTGGCTGCATTTGTGAGCCTGGGAGTTCACACATTCACCCAGTGAGCACAAAAAGGACAGGACTGCCAAAAGGAATCTGTCAAAGTAAGTGTTTGCTGTTGGTCCAGTAAATGCTGGGGTTTGGTAGGATAAGGTGGTGTTTAGTAAAGCACAGGCAGCAATGGTTGTGCCTCCAGGTGCTTTTCTATCCCTCCAAAAGTGTGGCAGCAGCTCTCACTATGGCTCTGAGCATTTTTAATGTTACCACACCTTCATGGACTGTGGAGAAACTTCTCCAGAGCCTCTGGTGCAGTGGTGTGGGCGAGGCAGCGGGGCGAGCTGTGAGCCCAGTGACACCAGTAAATACATGTAGCACCCCCTTAGGACACCTACTCAGCATTTAATTACCTCTTCCAGTCACCTGGCATGGTTTCAGCCCACATTAATCTCTGTTACCCCACATCCTTCCTCCCTGAGGGACATTGCTCAGTCCCCTCCTTCAGTCTCACCCATTTCAGCGACGGCCTCTCGCTGTGTTCCCTCTGTGTCTGTTGCTTTGATTGCAATAAATAAAAAGCAGAGTTTGAGGATAAGCAGCCAATTAAATTAGAGGTTTTACCCTTAAGACTGAAGTCCTTAAATTCACCCGGTGGGATGAACGAAGCTGCTCCCAGACCCGTGGGAAGGTGACTGCTTGTCTGACACTGCACAGAGGATGCTTTGCACTTAGAGGCAAAAAAAAGTCTTGTTTTGCATGAATGACTAACTAGTGTCAGACTCTTTGTGCATGTGGCTGTGTCTCCTTGTACTAGAGCATTAGAATGAGTTACTGGGATTAAGGGTTAAAAGCCTGATCCAGGAGCAGTTCCCTGCTCCAGATGCTGCTCAGGGCTGCAGTGGGCTGAAGCTTTTTCTGTCCCTGCCATCAGCCTCCCACACACACACACATCCACCCTGCAGCCTGGGTGCTGTGTGGAGTTCATGGCACGGGGAGGGATGAATGGGAACTGCAGGAGTGGCACATGGGAGGTGAGACAACCCCTGGCCCAGGGAAGGCTGGTTGGGAAGATGGGTGCTCTGAGATTTTCTCAGGGAACTCCCAGGAGCCACACTTCCCCTCTGCGGGGTTTTTAAATCAAATCCCCCTTCTGTAAGCCCAGAGAGGCATTTTGTGGTCTGTGTATCTTCCTCTCTGCCAGCATCCCCCTCCCGCCCCGTGACTGTGCCTGTTCACTCTCACACGGTGTCACTCCCATGGTGTGATGGGGCCCTGGTGGGAACAAGCTCCATTTGCCCCTCAGTAGTGTCCTGAAAACCCTTAATGAATCATGAGGTATGGATGCAGGAGGTTCATTAGAGACCAATCACGAGCAGTAATTAAGTAGCCAGGAGTAACAAGGCTGTGTTGGGTCTTGCTCTCCCTCAGCTGCTGCTGGAACAGATTGAGGCTCCAGAGCTCTTTCTTGCCCAGCAGAAAAAATATGATTTTTATATAAATTTATATACAGATATCGATGAACTGTCCTCCAGTGCTGCTCCCCGTGCTGTTGTGATGGCAGTGGGCACAAGGAGTCTCTGCAAAGGTTCAGGTGAGGCACAAGACCCCGTGTGGCAGTAACCCCTCTGAGCAGAGGTGCAGACCGAGAGCCCTGCTGAGCTGTTCTGGCTGCTGGTGAAGCTTCTGCTGAGGTGACATGAGGTTTGGGCAGGTGTTTTGGGGCAACCTGGTCCTGCTCTTGCCCAGGAGGGTGGCATGGAGCTGTTGGTCAGGTAGGCAGGGGGAGACCAAATCCTTATACCTGGGGAAGTCCCAGATGAGCCTCAGTGTTGCATCATCTGGACACAGGGTTGAAGACCCATGCTCTTAGCTTCAAGCAGACAGGACCCAAAGGTATTTTATTAGGGCTCCAGGGTTTATTAATGTTTCAGCCACATGCCAGTGTGGCAGGGTAAGGAGCTGACTCGGGCATGGTGTCTGCAGCTCACGGTGCTCTGCTCTCGAGTCCTTCTTTGCATTATTAATACTATTTGTCAAGGCTGTGTATTCATTTTCCCAAATGTGAGCTGGCCCCATGGGCTATTCAAGGTGTGCTAAGAAATTAAATAGTCTTATTTCTCCCTGCTGATACCTTGTTAGCTGTGCAGAGCTGGTGTGTCTGTGCTGGGGATGCTGTGTGAACAGGCAAAATATTCACCTGAGTAAATATTCCTCCACTAATGAGAAGTAGCTGAGAGATATTTATTTTCTTCTTCTTCCTTATGAGATTTATTTGTTCCCTTCCTAATTTTTTCCCCAAATTTACAGTCAAACCTAACTAGAAAAAACAGCATTTTTCTCATCCAGTTTTGGGGCTCCTGGTGGGGTGTCCTTCACCCCACTGCAGCACCCCTTGTTCCACCAGCTCTCCCCAAGAACCACATCAGCTCTTTAACTTTCTTTCTGCAGACTGGCTGCACCACAGCTGTCCTGGACACAGGAAAGCTGTGATTCCTGGGCAGGGAGCAGGGTGTCCCCAGCACCCTGGCTGCTCCATGGGTGCCACCTCACATGCCCCACCACGGCCAGGGTGCTCCACTGACCTTTCCCCCCTGCACCACAGGGTTTCTGTCTGTAGTGATTGTGTGGATGTCAAATCCCACCCTGTTCCCATGGATACAGTGGAATGTAGAGAGGGAAGAGCTGCCTCTTTGCTTTATCTTCATGTGGGGTTTTATATACCTCAGATTTTGGGTTGCAGTGTCCTCAGTGGGCAGTGGTCATAACAGGCAGGAAATGGCTGCAGTGATCACCCCGTGTGTCTTTAATTGCAAGTCAGTTCCCCAGATTTAACCCTTCTTCTTTTCACACCACTTCATCTTTGACCCTCTGGTCAAATCAATCTTCTAGTCAACTTTGTAGA